GGGGATAAAGACGTGAATATGAAAGCGACCTACGCAGTAATGAACACTACGTAGGCAGTAGTGTTTAAGCAGTAGTGTAAGCAGTCTTTTCATTACTGCGAAGATCGCTTTCATATTCACGTCTTTATCCGTAGTTCAAATATATGACTTTCATATATTCACAGCCGTTTATTCACCACTCCACGGGTCTATTTAGAACCAACACGGCAGAGGTCATGGGTTCAAATCCCGTACAGGCCTGAATTTTTGTTTTCAGGCCTTCTTTTCACTACTGCTTAAGTAGTATTCATTACTGCGAAGATCGCTTTCATTTTCAGTTTGTATCTTAGTTTGGATTTTAGTTTCACCGGATAGAATTGGTTCAATTCTCCATTGTTTTGGAGTAACGTTACAAATTTCTGCTTCTCGTTTTTTCAGTTAAACAAAAATTTAAGTTAAATTTCCTAGAAAATTTAAGTTCTAACTCATGTTAGTACAGAGGGTGATTAAAAATAGGTAAGCATTTAAAGTACTTGTTAAATAGTATTTAACAATTGGTTCATACGTCAGCGTGCGTTCATCGAGATATGAAGCACGCGGGAAGTTTGGAGAGCACGAAAATTGCGTAAGAGTTGCTCGAGGGCGTAGTCAAGAGCAACTCTAGCCTCTTGAGTGCCCTCCAAACTTCCCAAGTGCTTCATATCTCGATGAATGCACAGCTGACGTGTGAACCAATTGTTGTATAACATTTTCAACCCGATGGTTTAAATGTTGAAAAAGGGTTAATATTCCCTCTGCTACGCGTCAGCGCGTTGATAATTTTGTTCCAGGAAAACATTTCGCTACGCTGCAAACGATCTTGTCTTAGATTGGTCAAAAAACTGACAGGTGAATTCATGCGTGTAAATGAACTTTATTTTCTGATTGAATACAAAATTCTCGAGGGATTTGTTTGCTGACGTCATGAGCGTGCACAGTAGGAATATGAAGCACGCTCACGAAATTGAATTTGATTAGACAAATTGACTAGCTATGTTATAAATTAGATTCAAATATACTGGCCTCGTAGCTGCCAGTCTTATTTGAGTGTACTTGTACAAAATAAGACTAATTATACACCAGTATAAGTTTGAAAAGAACCAACAAATTGGTTTATGGAGGTTTTCGATTGTACGAAAGAAGCCATTTAAGCGTTAGTTACCAAGTTAGCAAACGATTTAAACCGTACTTCGAGGAAGAGAATAAGAAAAGGAAATGAGCTAATATCGAAAGAAACTACTAAACCTCAACCAATACGTCTACAATAATAGCATGCTGTGTTTTTTACTTCGCAGAGTAGCGGTCTGCATGTCTATTTTTGTCAGATGCAAATCATGGTCGACAGCCGGTTGACTATTGCATGATTTTCAGCACGTTTTATTGGAGCCAGGTTGCTTCTAAGCTTCTTCACTAAAGATGCAACGAAACTGCCTGATCGTGCCTCTTACTACTTGTCGTATATCTCTAATCTTCCAGCAATACAAAAGTGGGTTAATAGTTGAGTTAGACATCAGCAGAGACAGCGTTACAGCATATATTAAGCTCTGGGACGGAACATACAATCTAAAGATAGCCTTTACAGCTCCGACTAAACCAAATGGGAGATAACAAGCCAGTAATGTCATTTGTATCCACACTACCGTGGACACTGTCTTTTTGTACCTTGCTTTGTTCAGTTGCGATCCTTCTCCATTTCGTTGTCCTTGATTGCCTTGGTCTTGCAATTGTGCTCGAGAAAGGCGAAGCGTGTGATAGATTTTGGTGTAGCAGAAAGTGGAGATCACTATACACAACACGAGTCCTGCAGATGCCATACCTAAAGCAATAAGATAGCTATAATACACCACCGCGGCGATAAGGATGCTGGAAAGCCATATAGTGACAACAAGGGCCATTACTCGCCTCACAGTTACAACCTGCCTGTACCTTAGCCCTAGTAATAGAGCAAGAAGTCTGTCTACACTTATTGCAGTCGTTGTTGACAAAGATGCGCCGCATAATATCGTAGTAGCGGTATAGGAAAGTGCCCAAAAGTAGTGACAACTCTTGGAGTTCTCTGGAGAAATAATACCCATTGAGGAGAGGATTTGAAATGAGGCCCACTCCTAGATCTGTGCACGCAAGGCAACTGATCAAAATTTTTGACGGTGAATGCAGAGAAGACAACTTTCGAAGAGCAGGGATGATCAGAGCATTTCCGAAAAATGCCATGATGGATATGGGGATTGTAAAAATTAAAATTGATATCTTCATGGCTTTTCGAAGACCTGGACTGCAATAGTACTCTCGATATATCATGCTATAGTTGCCATACTCAGTTAAATTCGCCATGAGTTTGGTCAGCGTTTTCCTACAGTTTGCTGACCCAACAGTAGAAACAAAGGTAGAATTAGTCTACAGCAGTCAACTTCTATCGTTTTATTCTGTGACTATCATCATTGGATCGGCGTCTAAATATGAGAAAGTGGTGTTCTAGCATAGAAAATCGTCGCAGATGGAGTCACTTTGACATGGGCTTTGCTATCATTTCCGATGTGTTCATTTTCTTTCGTCGTAACAAAACATAACACCAAAGACACTTTTTACAACAGTATGGTCAAGAATAATCATCGAGTCACCTGTATAATAATCGTCCAAAACAAGTTTTATATCAGTTTCTCTCGTGTTAGGTTATGAGAGGGCTTCCAGAGTCTCCAATTATCAAGTAAGGACGCTCACAAGAGTCTTGATATTGGGGCAGTCAGCAAATCTGATCCTGATGACCTGCAGTCTTCATCAAAATAGTGCTTCACTGTTTACGGCAACTTGAAAGGAAAGTCAGCGCTTTATCGAGTGTAAAGCTTTACGGATACGTTGTATAGCTTTCCCAATAACGATGAAGAGCTCTCGATGTGGTGCGCAACCTCAAATCATATCCAGTATTGCAGAAAAAGTTTTCAGGTGTCAATGTTTTTTCCGCGAGGCAAATCGAAAAACGCACGCCTTTAAGTTTAATACCCAAGTCCTGTCGAAACTTTCCCCACCAATCCGCGTTCAAAGGTATCGCTGAGTATCCTTAATTGAACTTCGTCAATTCAAATCAACAAAAGAGGAAAAAAAGCAGATTATTCAAACATCGATTTTAAGTATTTTCTATTAGATGGCGCCACATTCTAATTGCTTGAAGGGGGA